AGTCAACATTCGCCTCCCAGAGTTGCAGAGGGGCCGTTTTCCAGGAACACATCAGAAGGTGAAAACTTAAACAATATAGGTGTACCAGTCTCAAGAAAAAGCCAGGAAAGAGATGTTGGGTGGGCAACCTACAGGGCCTCTTTGCCAAAAGAGCATTTTGTTTTTGTTTTGTTTGTTTTTGTTTGTTTAGGTACATTATCATAAGTGAGGCACCAATAAATGTCTAAGGAAATCTTTAAGGAAAAAAAAATTCTAAAGAAGTTGAAAAAAGAGGAAGGTAGAAAATAGAAAAAGCGCCGCAATTACTAATTTTGAGACTTCTTTCCATCATCCGCTAATTTACATGAATCACTCATTTCAGGCTGTGCTTTTGCTATACTTCCCCAACTCTCTCCTCATGCTCTTCTCCTTATCTGAGCTTCTGTAATTAAGTGAATTGAGGCTCATAATTCTTTGTACTATTTGGTCAGCATATAAATACTGTCCTAATTATACAGCTCTACCTCCCTCTGATCCCTCTTCTATAATAATACATATACTAAGAAACCTTATGTGGTAGATTGGCATTATCAATCAATCAAACAATCAATAAATTTAAATACTAGTCACATTTAAGCAAAATACTCTTTCAAAGTTGTAATAAAAATATAAATGGGCTTTTACATGTGTTGATTGTCCTCTAAATCAAAGAATATTTAACCTGATTACTAAAATTTCTGAAATTAATTATGCCCAAAATTCGAACATTGTAATTCACAGTTCATAAGGACAGCAAACGTCATTGCTATGTCTGTTTTACTAAAGTGAACAAACTTAGTGCCAAAAATTATCCATGACCAATAAAACTCTTATTAAAAAATAGTGTTCATAGCCCCCTGATAATTTCAGTTTATAAACTTTGAGTATTATTTTCAAGAAATTCATTTAGAGGGGTGCCTGGGTGGCTCAGTTGGTTAAGCATCTGAGTCTTGGTTTCAACTCAGGTCATGACCTCATGGGTCATGAGATCAAGCTCTGCCTTGGGCTCCACACACAGCCGGGAGTCTGCTTGAAGTTCTCACCCTCTTCCCCTCCCCCACACTCTCACTTGCCCTTTCTCTCTCTCTTTCTCTAAAATAAATAAATATTTATTATGATTATACATTATCATAAGTAAGGCACCAATAAATGTCTAAGGAAATCTTTAAGGAAAAAAAATTCTAAATAAATAATCTTAGAAAAAAAATCATTTAGAGAAAACAAAAGTCTCATTAAATTTCCTCCCAGATACTCATTTGGAGCATTTTTTTCCAGGCCTAATCGTATAGTACCATACTTTCCTACAAGGTTTCCTCTAAGATTTGAAGCACCATTTAAAAATAGAGATAGAAATACTCCTCCCAAGAAAATTACATAGGTTAATTATAAGGTTTTATGCATGAATACATCTCTGGGGAAAAGGGGGAACAAAAATAGGAAAGAACGTACATGAAGGAATGAGTCATCCTTGGGCCTTTCCCCCAAAATATATTAATTTTATATAGCTCTGGTATATAACCATTTTTTAAAAATTCATATTGCAGAAGATTTGGAATTTGGGTAAGAGTAGGGTTGAGACTTAGAGAAGCTGCCAGCAGTCTCCCAGCTTCTTTTTAGTGACCATAACCCCTGATGGAGCACCATTATTCATCCCCGAAGTAAGGATTTCTCAACCTCGGCACTGTCATTTTGGACCTGATCATTCTTTGTTATGGGAGGAGACCCTGTTCATTCATTGCAAGATGTTTAGCAGTACCCCTGATCTTCCACACTAGAAGCCAGCAGTGTCCTCCCTTACCATTTTTGACAACAACATTATCTCCCCACATTTTCAAATATCTCCATGGGGCCAATTCAAAATTGCCTCCCTCCCTACCCACCTCACCCATCACACTCAAAACCATTGCCCTAAATCAAAAGAGTAGGATTTTCCCTGCTATTTCCAACAACATGCATGGACCTTGAGGGCATTATGTTATGTGAAATAAAGCAGTCAGAGAAAGAGAAATATTGCATGATATCAGTATTTCAAGGAATTAAAAAAAAAATGTCAAACCCACAGAAACAGTAGAAAAGTGGGTGTCAGGGACTGGAAGGTAGGAGAAATAGGGAGAAGTAGGTAAGAGAGTAAAAGCTTTTACTGTAAGGTGAATAAGCTCTGTGGATAGAATGTAAAATACAGTGAGTATAGTTGATAACACTATTGAATAGTTGAAATATGCTAAGAGTAGAACTTAAATGTTCTTTCTCACACACACAAAGCAGGATTTTCAATTATTCAGTATGTTATGACATTATTACAATTTTTTTCTTCAAAGTTTATATTCATATTTTAGTTAACCTACAAACAGATGTACTGCTTTTATTAGAGTTAATCAATTAAAACAATGACAAGTTCAAAATTGTTTCCAGCTATTACATGTCATTTTTATGGAAAAGCTGTAGCAAAAATATCACAATATTTTTAACCATTTCCTTTAAAAACAAAACAATCACAAAATTAATCTATTTTTGTCATATTGAAAATGGCAATGATTAGGCAATAAAAATTATTAATAAATCTAAAAGCATAAGCAACTGTAAAAGAGAGGATGTTAAATGCCAACCCTTAATTGACTATGCAGTGCTTTTACTCAAGAATTTCATCAGTTTGTCAGAAAGAAATGAGTATTAATTGAACATTTTCCAAATTATGTTACTTATTTCCTCATGGACACTATGGTTAACACAATATACGACTAAAGGAAAAACATACTATACAACAACACAGGACAATAATTCACATCTCTCTCTCTCTTTTTTTTTTGCTTTGGGGTCTTGGGATATTATAAATATCATGACCTGTTGGGGAGATTTTTGTTTTCTCCCTGCAAGTTTTAATGATAACTCAGAAAACTTGGCCAGCTGTTGTAGGCTATTTAATGCATCAGAAAGAGGAAGGACACAGCTGCAAAGAGATGCACCAGGAAAGCAATGAAGAGGAAGCCCAAGCTCATGAGTTGGCTCTCTGAGGCAACAATAAGCCAAAGGAGAAACTGAAAACTGTTCGCTGATAAAATCATAAGAGTTTGTAGACAAAAACTGAGGTAGGATATTGGGCAAGAGATGGGAAAAGCCAAGAGGTGAATTATCCTAAGTAGTGTTTCTTAAATTTAATGTGCTCAGCAATGCCCCAGGAACCATGTTAAGATGTAGATTCTGATGCAGAAAGTGTGGGGCAGGTCCTGAGAGTCTGCATATCAAAACATCTCTGGGGGATTGATATTGCTGGTTGGTGTATGTACCACACCTTGTATAGTAGAGTTCTAGAACATTCCTCCCCACCCCCAACATATCTCTAGAAGCAGAAGTGTCAACTTTGTTTCACCACAAAATTTGTAATATTAACATGGCAAAATGAATTCATTTATACAATATTCTCCCCAAACGCCTTAATATATAGAAATGTATATTTCCTTATACCTTCTTCAAAGGAAATCATGAAACATGAAATCATGAAACATGAAATCATGAAACAGATTGTTGCTCTGAAATACAAGTTAATTTCTTGTTGATTTTTTTAAAGCATATACCTATTAGTAAAATGTCACTGTGATTTTTGCTTTTCATATATCCTTAGGCAGCAAGTTTCTATAGTAGATGATCTGATGGAGCAATGAAAAACACAAATTTCTAAGATCAGAATTAAAATTAGACTTGACTTTAGGATGATTAGTTTTAAATGAGTTTTCCAGCTCAATCTGGAGTTTTGATTCACTCTTTATGACTACCCAGGATGTGCTTTTATCCTAATCATTTGATTCCTTTCACACCTATGGGAAAACCAAATCCTGGCTTACTTCATACTCTCCCCTCCAAAGCAACTAACCAAGTCCTGATTATGTGATAGGTTTTGGCACTGTGTCAATGTCAAGGTGTACCAGGAAGAGAAGCAGATTCAAAGATGACAGATAGATGAAGTATCCCTGATGTAAAACATCCGTCAGTGAAGAAGAAGCTGGTAGTACCATAAAAATCAGTATGTTTAGGCACAAAAATCTAAACACTGAATACTAGCACTAGGTGCTGGTAAATAACCTCTTTGAAAAGAGGATGAGAGTAGAAGGAAAAGAAATACAAAAATTTGTTCCTATCGCAGATATTTCAAGATAGCATTTTGCATTTTCCACAGGCTATACTTGGAAACAAAGTATGTTTAGGCACTTATTACACAATTTTGTAAGAATAAGAATTTTCCAAATGCGTATACTCCTCTTTTTTCCCGAAAAAAAAGAAAGAAAAGAAAAAAAAATTCTCACACAGAATCTTACCGGAAACATTTGTATCACAAAAATACTGTACACTTTAGTAATCTGTGTCTGGCTTGGTAAAGTACTAAAGGCATATAAAGAGTTAAAAATGTAAAGGTAGTCAATTTTTTTTCTAAATAAAATTCCTCAGGCTTAAACTGACCTAGATATGCTGCAGACATTTTAAGTGAAGAAATTAAGGCAATGTGAAGAAATTAAGAAATAAAGACAAATAAAGAAATTAAGGGTTTATACAGTTGACAAATATATCCTACTTGGAATGGTCACCAAGGCTGCTTTTAATGCTACAACTCTGCAGGTCTCCAAATACACACTTTCTACATTACTTGAAATTTGAAATGTCTTCTCTATTCACCTCTTCTGATCACATCACAAAAAAATGTTAGATGGTCACACTCAGACCATCTACATGATGCCAGTAATAATTAAAAAGCTTAATTAGTGTAATCAAGCAATTGATTCAGAAGGAAAAAATAAAACTTCAAAAAATTTAATAGTTCCTTTGGACACAAATATCTGGCTCTCTTAGTGCATGTACTTAATGTCCTGATAAACATAATATGTCACCAGAAGTAGAGGAGTTCATTTTAGAGAACATACCAGTAATTCCTTCTGTTCTCTATGAGACAATGGACAGAATAATGTTTCCTTTCAATAGTTTACCACACTTACCCCATGTGATGGGTAAGAGATCCATCCCAGCTCCCCTTGAATTGTTTTTGAATCCAGTAGATTGACTAGAAGAAAACACAAATACACAAATGCAGTTAAAAGAAATAAATTATTTCTATTTGCCTCTGTCAAGTTAACATTGTCTGTTGTTGATATAACGATATCAACATGTTTAAAACACAGTACTCTTTATTTTCATGATAGGAGTATAAGAGAAAAAGAAGGAAATGGAAAAGGGAAAGCAATCACGGGAAAAATTAAGGAATCAAAGCTTCTCTGGCTTTTTTAACTGTGCTTATTTATAATGATAGATCAATATTCAAAATATTGATAATAATTTTTGACAAGGTAATTATAGGTTTAAAGAAGAAATGGTAAAAATGCAAAACAGGAAACATTAATGCTAACGTTATCAAAATAACTTCGAAGTCCATTAAATTTAACGAATTTATATATGATTTTACTATGAATGAACTTCTTAAATATGCTTCCATAATGAATCAATATTTCTGTTTGTATCTGTTAGGACATCTTTATATTGTCTGTGTTCCATATGAGTATTTTTTAATACCACATAAATTGTCCACTTATGTGTAATAAACAAAATGCTTAACTAATAATTTCAGGAGAAACCAAAACAAAACTACATTTTATAAAACTCCCTGGAATAAGCTTTAGTTATTTAAAGAAAGCATTGCTACTCAAAGGCTTTAATGATTTTACTCAGAACTTTGCACTAGTTATTAAAATGTCTGATGAATAATAAGATACAACATGAATGTGGGTGCATTTTGAGTATATTATTAAAGAAAGACAAATCATTTCCTTTTAACACAGAGAATATTAATTTGTGATGGATTAGAAATTAAAATATAAAAAGATACTTCAAGTTTAATAACAAAAGGCTCACTTTGATTGTTGATCTATTAAACAATGGAAACTATGGTTTTACCTCATCCTTCATCTAAATCAGAAAGCAATCCCACAATTGACTAATGGAAGAGGTGGAGGAAGGTTACACAAAATAGCCATGTATTATTAACACAAACCAGAGCAGGAAAATCAATAAATACAATCAGAAATCATTTTCAGTATCTATATATACATAAATCAAAATATAATGTTAATACATGCACTGCATAAATAGGTCCATCTGTTGTCAATAAAGTATTTCCTGATACATAAAAAGTCACCCCAAATAGGAAACATTAATCTTATAAAATGTTAAGTAAAAGAAAAAATATATTTAATAGGTGTTAGAATTCTAAATTTTCAAGCACTGCTTTTTAAAGGAAGATATTTAGTTATCTAGATGAGTATTAAAAAAATCCTCCTGACTACAAAGTTAGAAGACATATAATTCTCAAAGTTAGAATGTCTAAGTTTTGCTAGTGAAAGAAAAGCACGTAAACTTAATTACACTGGAATTCCTTAATGATTAAAGATTTTTTCTCACAATAAATTAATCCCAATGAGAAGTAATTATATTTAGAGAAGAGTTGCTGCATGGATTACATAGTGCAATTTCCATAATGGTATTATTTCCCAGGATATCAGTTTGGAAATGAACAGTATGTTTAATTATACTGAAATTATCTGTCAAAATGATTTTTAAAAACCCTCTACCAATTAATCAATGTTACAGATAATATTTCAGATTAATCAATGTTAGAGAATTTTTGAAAATATGAGAATACATCTTCACCTTCAGAGTAAAGTATCTTACCAACATTCATTCTGATAGATAAGTTTGATTGATGAAGCCTAGTTGGACAGTTCTATCATTCATCAGTTGATTTCTTGGAGTTTTACATATGATTTGCATAGAATTTACAATGCCAATATTCATAAATCATTAGATAATATTTGCAATCCCTTTAGGGGTCTAAATGGTTCAATGTATTTGTGCGTGTGTGTAATAACTGAGTATGTACTAAATGACGGATACGTCACTCAACATGCTAAGATAAATGGCTGATTTAATTCCAGTATTAGTAACCAGAGGAAAAAAGTGTTTGAGGCAAAGAAGTTATGAATATTGTCTCCATTTAGTAAATGACTCATTGGAATGTAGTTTGTTAACTAAAGAACTAAATGCCTTTTAGTTTTCTCTGATGATAATGAGGGAAAAAGGACTGGACTAATCACATCAGCATTTGGTGTCTACTCAAAAGAGAATAACCAAGTCAAAAAGAATTATCTCACATTGTCAATTAAATAAGTGTAATAGATTAATTAAATTTATTTCATTTTCTGAGAAATGGAATTTTTAGTACACACCATTTTGCGTGAATGAAGAAAACACAATAGCATCATTACTCATGATTCTGATTCTGTTGTCTATCAAACATAATTACATCTGCCCTGGTTATCTCACAGTGTTGCATCATGTGATGATCAAATAATATAAATGTATTTAAAGCCACCATGAGTTTATAACATGCTATACAGATTCAGTGTTCTTGTAAAATTAATACCTGAACTAACAACCGTACCATTTTGGTTTCTGAAATCTATATATAATCAACCATGGAGATATAACCTAACAGAAAAGAATAGTGACATCAAAACACTTTTTTTTTTGCCATTTTTATCCTGTTTTTAATCCAAGGAAAAGAAATCTTCCAGAATAACCTAAATTTTCTTTCTTACATAGTTTTAAAGTACTTCACAGCTATAGGGTTCCTGAAATATTTCTTTTCTTTTTTTTTTTTATTCTTATGTTAATCCCCATACATTACATCATTAGTTTTAGATGTAGTGTTCCATGATTCATTGTTTGTGCATAACA